CATAATTTGTTTCAGGACTCCAAAGTGATGTCGTGGTGGGATTATGGCTACCAAATAACAGCAATGGCGAATCGTACTGTGATAGTCGACAATAATACGTGGAACAATACACACATATCACGAGTGGGCCAAGCGATGGCTTCAACAGAAGATAAAGCTTACGAGATCATGAGAGAGTTGGATGTGGACTATGTGCTGGTTATATTTGGTGGATTAGTGGGCTACTCGTCTGATGGTGAGAACAGTAAACCTTTTTACGTTCATCTAAAAATGGCACTGCCATTTAAAGAGTAAATTCATGCATCAAATCAAATGCAATCAAACATCGGCAACCGAGAGAGACAAATGCTTCTCTGAAAACTGATTACGTCTCTGAAAATGTTCAAATCATTATATCGTTTTCAAAATTGAATAGATTTTTAATTTTTTCGAGAAAAATATGAGGTTTGCACATCTGTCTATATGTTACTCTTTTTTATATTTGTTTTCTGATAGTCTGATTGTAATGTTTTAGACAGATACTTTTAATTATTTTAGCAGGTGTAGCAAGTTCTCAAAATTCATGATTTATGAAAAGAACAAACATGGGAGGACTTGATTGTGGTAAATAAATAATAATAAATAAATACAATCTGGTATCGTCAAAATATTTGCTGTAGTTATGTTTCCTCCCTAAGGTTGTTATTTTTATTAAATATTTGTAATTATTTGAGTCACTAAAAGACTGGCTACCGTTTAAAAAACGATTTTTTATATAAGGTACTGAAATACTATAGCAGCAAATTAGATCTATTTTCAAACTAGAAATAACCTATTAAAAACTTTGTGAAAAGACATTAATTTAAAAATCGTATGAATCATTTTCTTTTTTATTCTGCAGACATCAACAAATTCCTATGGATGGTACGCATTGGAGGTAGTACAGACAGAGGGGCCCACATTAAAGAAGCAGACTACTACACACCTGCTGGAGAGTTCAGAGTCGACGCTGACGGCTCTTCCACATTACTCAACTGCCTCATGTATAAAATGAGCTACTACAAGTTCGGCCTCATGTACACTGAGGGCGGTAAGTTATATTTTTTAAACTAGTTTGTCGTAGTTCGTTGGATCATATCTGGCTCGAAGGACCAAGATTAATATGATTTTTATTATGTCAACTAGAAATAGATATTAAACGCAATTTATTTTCTTAAGTCATGGCAAATTGGGCTTACGTGTATATAAACATTTATATATACGGCCCAATTTAATATATAAAAATTGAAACTTTTTGCTTTGTATTTATTTAATTTGGTTAAATGGTCGTAGGTACGACTGTGCACGAAGATGTGATCTTAATCCGTAAACAGGCCAATAAATATCAATTATTAGGTTGTTTTGTAAAGAATGTCTCCATAGTGGTAGTAGAATTTATGCTACAGAAGTGTGCAGATTTACAAAGGAATGCTCTTCACTGGTTTTTCGACAAAATAGCGATATATTAAGGATAAACCAAATGAAAAGTACCCTGAATCATATTGCATATGAGTATGGTATATAAACGTGATGGAGGCGAAAGATTTGCTGCTTAACCCTGTGGGTGACAGTCTCGAGTGTTTATGTATGTATTTAATTGCTCAGTAGCGGCATGGAGTCAAGTAGTTGGCAATATTTCACCCCGTAAGCAAAGCTCTCGGAAGCACGTAAAGCCATTGGTCGTGCGCCTGATCACTGTAGTCATTATAAATTTTGTAAATATTTTGTAACCATTCACTTCTTTTGTGATTCTTACTAGTTCTTCCTAGGACAGAGGTTTTTTTCGAACCAATGGTAAAGTAAAAAATGACTCAATAAGAATTACATGTAATCCATATTCAATAAAAAAAAAATTCTATTCTATTCATTGTGAGATTGCCGTCTCATCGGACTGTGAGAAAATAGACTACACCTTTGCTTAAATCACACACACACACACACATGAATATAATTCTGTCTGCTCTGAACTATGGCCTGAAGGACATCAATGGCTTCCATGTGGCATAACTTATATTACGGTTTTTTATATTTGCGTAAAATACTATATGTTGATTTGATCTAGTGGGTTGTTACGACTGTTAACCATGAGGTTCCAGATTCGAATCCGAATTGGGTCAAAAAATCAATTATTAAGTTTTTTCGTCAAGATTTTCTCAGTAGCTACCCAGAGTCAGAAAGTTGGCGGTATCTCACCCCCATGCCTCGGAAGGCATGTAAAGTCATTGGCCCTGCGCGCCTGATATCCCTTTATTGTCGGTTTACCGTCCTATCGGACTATGACAGTGATGATATAGAGAGTGCACCTGTGCTTCCGCATACATTTCGGTGCAATAATCCTGTCTCCGTTGAGGCTGGCCGCCGTGACCGAAGTTCAGTCTGGAGGACATGACATGTTGAAGACCAGAATAGCTTCTGATTGATGGCAGGGTATACCATCTAGTATATACCAGATGTGAAATAACCAGACAGTCAGATGTTATACATCTAGTACTGCAGTATGAGGCGTGACGATTATGGCAAAGTTACAAGTAAACCCAATATCTCATTCCCTATTAGGAAAACATTTAATAGTTGAGTTTTATCCCTATAGATGTAGTGGTACTGATAGCACCCAAAGGTGTTCGCAAGGACATAAAATTCTTTTAAATAGAGTGTACATTATTTTTTGAGATGATGGTTAGTTTGCAAATACTACCGATACAGTTTTACAATACATGGTATGCCTTTAAATTAAAATAATGGTGTCATTCATTCGTTTTAGTGTGTATTATTTATATAACAAATCAAAAAATGAACCATACCATAATTTATATTATGTCTAGTGATCCATAGTAAGCCAAATGGTCCCTCAACACTAAAAGCCTAAGAAGCACTGCTATAAACCAATATCTTAATCCACCACAGGACGACCGCCCGGATTCGACCGCGTTCGTAGCGCAGAGATCGGCAATAAAGACTTCAACCTGGATGTCTTAGAAGAGGCATACACCACGGAGCACTGGCTGGTTCGCATATACAAAGTTAAGCCATTGCCCAATCGCGGAGTCTGATGAAGACTATTGCTTACCCCATGACTGTTGAAACTCTTGTAGGATAATGTCTCAGTGTTGATGATTCAAATTAGGAACTAAAAATGAAAAAATCATTACACTTTATAAATCACGATTTTATTCCAATTGTCTATAATCTTCAGGAATACTTACGGAATAGACAGTTTTAGCAAAGTATGGGCCTAATAATAAATGCTAGTTAGTGCAATTGCAAACCTCAACTGCACAATAAATAGGCACTTATTTTTTTATATTTTTAATATTTGTTGTAATTTAAAGTTTATTATTATATTTGAAATATACGTAAAGCAGTGTATATTATTAGATAAGTTAATGTTTACTTCACTTGATTGCAATTGAACAACAATCGTTATTCTGCTTTATACAATTGTCAGCTTTCATTCATTTGTTATTTATTCGGCGGCAATAATATAATTATCGATGTATTTATAATTTTTCTGTTACAATCGCACTTATAATAGATTATCTTTGTAGTTCCTAGCTCTTTTCACTTATATCATTATGTATTTTAAAAGTTTAAATATTTAAAATTGTGATTCTTGTGTTAACTTGAGATCAGACCATCTTGGCACAGGCCTGTCTTATTCCAAGGTTTTTGAATTACATTTATAATTACAATAAAATTGAGCAAGCGAATATTACAATGTACAAACATGATAAATTGTAAAAAACCCATATTCTGACAATGAATCTTTTTATTTTGCATTGCAAGACATTTTTGTTGTTATCACCAATATCAAGACATAAGCAAGTTAAAAAATACGAATTAACACTTATGAAATAGTGTAAATTATAGTCAAAAATATATGTGGGGAATTCATTAATGCGATGCGATGCGACCTAGGACTTATTTTTGTAAATAATAGGAACATTTATATTGTAATATCTGGATCAGTATGAATAAATAAGAATTTGGCATGCTGGAGAAAGTGCACAAATTATTGTCAAACAACGTGATAACTCATTTTCATGAAATCAGTAGTGAAATTATTAGATTATACTTAAGAATTCAGTTTGATAAGACTAGTTGGTGCATAACTGAGCAACACTGCCAGATCTTGTACTAGGTCTATGGATGTATAAAGAGTTGTAATAAATTCATTTTTTATTTTATTTTTTATTCCTAATAAATTTTTATTAATTATAACATGTTTTTATTATTTCCTTTACTTTTTAGTTAATTAATAAACTAATAATGTGTTTTGTTTAGTTTTCTAGTGTTATGAATTAACCCATTCCTCCCCACTGTCATATTATTAGGACACTTAACAAAATTTCTTTTTACGTATTAGGACTTTTATTTTTATTATTTCTGATGAAATTCATATTTTTACACTATTTCTCTAATAAAATAATTTTTTTTTCGCAGTAAAAAATGTTTATAATTTTAATATAATTTTTTAATATTGTATCAGACGTTCAAGAGTGGACGTGTTGTTGGTTGTAGTCCATTACAGTTATTCAAATATGAACCTTATTTAATAGTACACATAAGGTCTAATTCAGAAAAGTGGCACAGTTGTGTGGTATTTCATAGATCAAAGGATTTTACAGAATTGATACTTCGTAACGTTGCGGTCGCCAGACAAGCTTTACAGTCCAACCCTGACATCAATAAATCAGGTGAGCCAAGCGGTATGACTACTCGAAAGCGTAAACACGATAGCGGCTTCTCAGAGGCTCTCAAAACTTACCTCAGAGATACGTAGTACTTTGCATGACTGGAAAAAGGAAATTAAAGACGAAGTATCCGGAATTAAAAACAATTTGGACCTTGTATTAAAAACTAATTCGCTACTAATTATTAAAAACTAATTCGCTGAAATAAAGTCGGAAATAAGCAGTGTTCGTCAGGAATATCACAAAATTAAAAAGTCAGTCCAATCTCTTAACTTAAATCACAATGAGGTAATGAAGCAAATCATTGCTCTAGAAAACTCTGTACAGTTCAATAGCGACCAATGCGACAACGTCCAAAAGAAAACTGAATTAATAGCCGTTAATAAAAAAGCTATTGAATCACTCGAATCAAAATTGGATTTATTGACTAATGATAACAGACAATTCCAATTGGAAATTAACACAAATAATCAAAGAGACCGTCTGTTGAACTTAGAGATTGTCGGAGTCCCTGAAATCAAGGATGAAGATTTAAGCAAAATAATTATATCCGTTGCTAAGCACTCAAATGTAAATATTTTCACTGATGATATCATGGAAGTCAACCGTGTCGCACCGAAAGTCAAACAAGGCCGTCCAACAAACGGTTTCAAAATTAAAATCCCGTCTCCTGAAGGACAACATAATCTCGGGTATTCGAAAAAATCGACTTAACACCAAAGATCTTGGCATTCATGGCAGCGTACGTCCTGTATATGTCAATGAGCATCTTACATACTGCAATAAGCTTTTGCTAAAGAAATGTAGGGAGGCGGCGAAACTTAAGCAGTATCAATATGTGTGGACAAAAAACGGGAGGATCTACGTAAGAAAGAACTACAAGTCTCCAGCTTTGCATATATCACAGGAAAGAGACATTTTAAAATTAATTTAATCTTACTTTGCATTTTCTTTTATTCTCTTTTTAAAGATATTATATTGCTTAACAAAATCAACTCAAATATTGTTAAAACAATTCACTGGTCTCTCTCAGTTCAGTTTGTCTATACTATTATATATTATTCTTTGACAAAGCATAAACAGAGTTCAACAAATAAAATATGTTGCATTTTACGTATACTGTACGTGCGCGGTAATTGTGCGACGAAGGTGCGTCCACATTATTTACGAATGTTATGCAAGTAAATATACATTATGGTTTCTTATACTCTACTAGCTGTTACCCGCGGCTTCGCCCGCATGGTCACTGGGAAATGAACTATCCATTGCTTTTTGAATTGAAATAAAACTGAGTTTTATAGATTTGTCAGAGATCAGCCATTAAAAGGAAACAGCAAAATTGATTCGTCAGCCTATTTAAATGTTTTGAAACGCAGCGTATAGGAAAGTATGAAAATAGCCTGTTTATTCCAAATGGAAATGGGATATTTTTTAATTAAAAGAAACTGAGCATAATTATCCGTCAGGGATGCAGACTTTTGAAAAGAAACTGAGATAAATTGATTCGTTAGAGATGCAGTTTTCTGAATTGAAAGGAAACTGAGCCAAATAAAAGATCCGTCAGAGATGCAGCCTTTTGAGTTGAAAGGAAACTGAGCTTAATAGGTCCATCAGAGGTGCAGCATTTGAAATTGAAAAGAAACTGAGCTAAATAGGAAATTTTGAATTGAAAGGGAAGATCTGTGGGAATTCTGATTAATTGTTTGTGGGAATTTTGGAAAAAAACTAACTGAACACTATTTTAAGACGCTACTGTACACAATGTTATATGTTTTTCCATTCGGTGAAAGAATCTGGAGATTCTGGGCATTTGCCACACGCGAACATGCTACATACAGCTGACCATGAGAGAAGCACGGTTTTTCTAAGTTGACCCCCGCTACCTGTAACGTTTGCCCTTGCGCTTTATTAATTGTCATTGCAAAACTGAGCTTAATAGGGAACTGCAACCTTTTGAATCGAAAAGGAAGATCTGTGTGAATTATAGGGATCCGTAGTATAATAACATTTTCACCTTTTTTGTTGTGATTATTTTCCGTCCAAGATGTGTCACACGCAGCCTTGTCCCGTGACATAACCAAGGAGCATCTAAATTTCGCATTAGCATGACTGGGACGCCTAATTTTAATTGAAACTCATATGAGAGCACACCTGACAACTCTAGAGAATTTAGAAACTCTGCGGGATATGAAGTGCTCTGTTCTGTGTCTATAACTGTGTCTACTGATAAATACTCTGTTATTTCTCCTGCTACTTCACTTAATATATCTGAATTTATTTTGTTAACGCTCTCATTTTTTGGTGCAAGAACCGCCCTTTCATGCATGTTGTTCGTTAAATCTGAATAAACGCTCGCAATTACTTCGGAATTACTTTGTACTAAATTATAAAAATCTCTCGTTAATTTCACGCAGCCCTCAGCATCCGTTTCCAACCGCCCATCGCCAATTTTTAATAGTGTGTCAGCATAGTTTCCAGCATTGATATCGTTATACAAATGCATTCTCATATTCGTAGTTAAACTGAATTTTGTCACCTTGTTCCATAAAATAGACGACTTGAGGCATGCTTTAATTTCATTTGCAGGTGTGCCCTTTTGAATGACAGGTAAAGTTTGGTGAAAGTCACCAGCTAGTAAAACCACCATTCCTCCCATTACATCGGTATTGCTGCGCAAATCCTGGAGCGTTCTATTTAGTGCTTCTACAGCTTTTTTATGCGACATTGTACTTTCGTTCCACACTAAAAGTTTGCATTGTCGTAGCCTCGTGCACTATTTTTTCTAAAGTTGCAGATCGGCGATTCTTACTGGGCTAGATTTAGAGGGCGTTTTAAAACAGAATGTGCAGTGCGGCCCCCGCTTAGCAGCGTGGTGGCTATACCGGAGAAAGCTACGGCCACAGCAATGTTTTTATCTTTCCGTACTTGCGCTAATAATAAATTTAACAAAAATGTCTTCCCAGTTCCTCCAGGGGCATCTAAAAAGAAAAGTGCACCATTTCCAGATTCAATTTGTCCTAATACTTTGTCAAAAACTCGTTTTTGTTCGGGAAGCAAGCGGGGTACAAATTCGGCTACTTGCTGCTGCAAAGCTGGTATATCGCAGTTTGTTTCACGTATAATTTCATCACTTAGTTCATTTTCGGTTGTTCGCTGAGGGCTTATCATTCCAAAGTCGCTTAATTTTTTGCTTACCATTGCCATTACTTTATCTTCAATTTTTCCAAGTGCTTCATTATAAATGTGTTCATTGTATGTCATGTTCGCGTGTGTCTGCTGTAACCTTCGCAAAATATCTTCCGCCATGTACTCTTTATATTTGTCCCACAATTCATGTGCATTAGATAGCCCGGAAGATGATATGAGAGTTGCATAAAGATCCCTAATTTTGGCTGGTGACTGGCACTGCACAGCTTCCTCCATGGTTTCATCCCAGTGATTATCGTTTTCTAAAAGATGCAGAGCTTCACATGCTTTTCTATAAGTTGTGCATTCTTGACCGTTGACAGTTTTAAGGTCTTTATATGCTGTAGGACCCCGAACATGGTGCAGCAGCAATCGTAAACAGAAACATTCAAAATTAGTTACATGGATGGTATACACACGACCAAGGGCATCTGATGACTATACCGGGCCAATTTGCAACAGGCGCGCCTTGAATACGGCGTTTCCACTCCTTCCTAGATGTGTTCCAAGTATAATAGCGGGGGACTTCAGAATATAACAACGTTTTTGCAAAGTTTTTGGCGGTGATGCAATTCTTTCTTGGAAATTTCTATCGGTGAAATATACACGCTCTCCATTTTCTAAGTGCACAGCAAGGTGAGTAAATGTTGGGTGCCTTTCGTGTAAAGGGAAGCCAAGGAAACGCCACGCTGCCTCGTTACTGCTGACATAACGCCCTGCTTGAAAGGTCTGTACTTCATTAACGGGATTTGCCTCACCTTCACTCCTGAGATTAAATATTGCTTGGTCGCAATTCCTTTATTTATGTACTTACAGATATACTTGATTGCGCGGACAGAGCTACATTCTTCTACATTAATGTGGGCATTAAACATTTTACATAGAATGGGCGAATACGGGACAATCCAGCTGTTATCTAAGGTTTCGAACGCTCCAGAGCGAGATTTGATTGTAACTTTCCTGCCACCATCTTCGGGAGCTCTGCATCTGTATAAAGGGTAGCCATTGTCATTGTGCACTGTTTCTTTTAATAGCTGTTTAGGGAATTTCTTTGTACATTTTCCTTCATTCATACATGGCGATACTGAATTTCGTGCTCCACATGGACCGTGAATCATATTTCGGACGATGGTATCATACAATTCTTTATCTTGCTCAGAATCCGGAATCTCGGCGCTTATTATGTCGTCTATTTGGCTGGGCCGCAACTTCTCTTATAGCCATATTAGAATGTGGGCATGCAGTAATCCTCTTTTTTTGCCATTCAATTGAATACATGAAGCACTGCACCTCTCCGAAAATTTTCCCTTTGTTAATTACATATGTAGCAGCCAGATTAATCAAACCTAAACGGGAATAAATAATATATACTCCGCTGCTACCATAACGCGGAAGGCGAGAATAAATAAAAAAAACATTTTATTTCCTAATTATTCTTGGCTACTGGGATACTGCGGACTGTATATAGATAATTTGACGTTCTTATAAAGAAACAAGAAGCAGCCGCAAATATCATTCAGCGCCACACCGACTTCACACGCCGCTATCGTCACGTATCCGTCGACCAATGGTGAGCCGTTTCTTCAACGCCGCAGTTCGTTTCCTCTTGCTGTTCCGGAGCTGTATTCCACACCGCCGCCGCCCGCCGACTACGCGTGCGCACCGATCTGCATGTCTTATATAGCCCGGTCCAGCGACGTAGCTTCGTGAACAACAAACAAGTCTCACGCCGGGAAACGAAACGTAGATAATTGTATATTTTAAATAGTTTTCATTGGTCATAAAATAAGCAATATAATTGGCTAGGCAAAATATTAATTGTTACCATTGGTAAATCAATAGTGAGCCAGCCATATAAATATAGGCAAGGTTGATGCAAAATATATTCCATTCCGAATCCCATTCGACAGTACATTCATAAACATAAACAGTAGTTTCATTTCTCCACCTTAAAGAAAACCACTCGGAGTCTGTTAATAGTGGACAGTTCGTCTCCACTATTACAGTGGTGACCCCGTACGAACACCGAGGGGGAAGATCCGGTACGAACACCAAGAAGGAACACCCTGCGACGTACCACTACTATTGCACGAACACCGCGAAGGAAACCCGTACGAACACCGAGAAGGAAGACTTCAGTTTATATAAAATCAGTGTAATCAAGCCGTCATTATGGAGCAGGAGGCAAACACATATACATCAAACCCGGTAAAAGAACCAGAAATCGCCGGTATATCTCTATCGTTAAGAATACCACCGTTTTGGAGAGACAAACCACGACTTTGGTTCGTCAGTTTTGAAGCCGCAACGAATGGTTTAAAGAAGAGCCAAGCGCAATTAGCACAGATGGTGATAGCCCAACTTGAGAAACAAGACATCGAACAAATTGCGGACCTGTTGTACAACCCACCAGCAGTCGACCAGTATAATTCACTGAAGGATCGTCTGATCTCCGCATATGAAGAATCCGACAGTCGACAGCTACAAAAACTTCTATCAGAAATAGAACTTGGAGACCAGAAACCCAC